ATGGAACACAATAGTTTGACTGACTATATGAGACTGATTCGTTCTCGTAGAAATTCGTACACATCAACATTCATGTCAAGCGAAAAGCAAACTAGATCGAAAACTTATTAAGAGACAACTAGATGTTAGGCGTGCTCCAGTTGCTATGAAGCCCCCAGAGCCCTGAGACAACCTGATATTTTATTCATTTCACGCTTCCTTTATCATATTTTCGATATAGAGAAAATCCAGTTAAATATTTGATTTATTGACTATATACACTAAGCTCATGGAATGTGCAAATTCTGGCTCTAATTCGCTCTAGCCAAAATGCTTGAAATCGATAAATATCGATATTATTTGGGTTTTAAAGAGTAAGCCTAAATTTTCTGTGATGAATTTCTGATACCTCCCTCCAAAATTTCCGAATGTAGTTTTGGAATTTATTTATTTATTTTCTTCATGTTKTATTGAGTTCCTTTTACAGACTAGACTTACGACTAAGACACGTGGCATAGGCCGAGCAGCACAGGTACTGCAATGCTCAAGCCGAATGAAAATGTAATTATACCGACGCCATCGCCCTCTCCCTCTCCGCTTCCCTCTCCGCTTCCCTCTCCACTTCCCTCTCCGCTTCCCTCTCCACTTCCTTCTCCACTTCCCTCTCCGCTTCCCTCTCCGCTTCCCTCTCCGCTTCCCTCTCCGCTTCCCTCGCCGCTGCCCGACTCAAAGATTTTCTCGATTATCCAGTCGTAGTAGTAAGAGACATCGGTGTAAACGCCTGGAAACATGGGCTGGGCACAGCCAATGCCCCAAGAGACAATGCCCGCCAGTTGGCTTTGACAGACGAGGGGTCCGCCGGAGTCACCGTTGCAGGCATCCCGCTCTCCTTCCATGTAGCCGGCACAGATCATGCCGGGCAATATTAAGTGACCCAGGGCGCTATCGTTGATGCACTGCGACTCACCGATTATGGGCACATCGACGGTCATGAGTAAATCGGGACTGTAGCCCTCCTCGGTGTAGCCCCATCCTGTGACCTGGCACACGATTCCACTCGGCACCGTTAGAGCAGTCAGTCCAATGGGTCGTATCGTGGGATGATAGGCCGGTACTGACCCACTTAGAATAGCCAGTGCGATGTCCTTGTCGTATGTCGACAAATCAAATTTTTCCAGCTGGAACATCAGCTGCTCAATGTCAAAGGTTAAAGTGTTGGCCTTCTCGAAGCGATCCAAATTGCCCATGACCACAATGATGTCCTCTTTGGGCAGAAAGGTGCCATCGTAGATATCCTGGCTGGAATGAGAAGAGCAAAGGGAAGAGGTAATTGAATATGAGTATCGAATCAGATCTCAATAGGAATTAAGAAAGTGGATAGGTCAGATCAGATCAGGGCTAGTCTATACGATGTACGAAGCAACTACTAGGGTAAATCAATACGAGCATCGCATAGAGAGATCTATATGTAGTTGATTACGCCCAAATTGTTCGATTATTTTGCCTGGCTCTATGACGTATATCTATCTGATGACGATTAGTTAGCAGCTATCAGGTGTAAGGCTTCAGCTGGACTGATCAGATTGGTAGCAAGCTGTCCTTGCTTGAGCTTTAGCTGCTATACATATAATGTATAATGATGCGGTATTTCGATTGGGGATCGGCTGTAGTGAAGTCCTTGCTTGTACTTACTCCACGAAGCAATGGGCAGCGCTGAGGACCACATTGGGCTTGATCAGGGAGCCGCCGCAAATGTGGCCGGTGCCAAAGAAGTAGCCATCGTTGAGGCGACGTCGCAGGCTGGCCTGGTGCCTGGTGGCCTCCATGGTGGCCTCGGTGCCATTGATGATCCGGCCCGGATCCACGTTGAATCTGGAGCGCATCAGCGGTGAGCTCAGTCGGCCGCCTAAACACGCGCAAGAGAAAAGAATTTGAGAACTGATTTTTGAACTGCATCCGGATCAGACATACCATCCGCTGGCAGACAGATGCTAAAAAGGATCGTCAACGCGATCATCAAAAGCCGTTCGGCAGCCATTGGAAGTCTTCGTATTTGCGGCACAAGCTGACAACGTCAACTAACTGCGTGGACAATCATGGCTAAAAGCACTGGGCCATCGATCGCTAGTCAGTCGGTATCGTCACAATTAAATCTGGCGATGCATGAGCGACATAATCTAATCAGAGCAGAGCGAGCATGAACCGGGCCATGGCTAAGGGGTGTGATAGACTGTCTTGATAAACTCTTTGCAATTGTACACTTTCAAAATTATTGAATGGATTTCCCCAAATGAACTGCCCTATCAATAGGTTTAACACCAAATCAATGAAGATTTATAGATCCAAGCGCGTGGAGTTCTTGCAGCCAAATGAAGATAACGCCAAGAGAATGTTCCTCGACTCTATCATGGTATGATATGACATGATATGATATGATATGACATCATATGGCATGATTTGACATGATATATGTATATGTTTTTCAGCCTCAGCTCATCAACCGATAGGGCGACCAGAGGGCTTGGCCGATAATTGAGAATGTATATACTCTCACTTTTCGTTCAGTATCTCTTCCTAGGGTATTAAATAAACATTAGATCGCATTTTTGATGATTTCTAGAGTATCTACCACTTGTCCTTGCTCGCAGAGTTCTAGGAAAATACTTGACGATATTTATTATTATTTCATAATATTTCAATTTAAATTAGTACAGAATATCAATAAATAAATAAATAATTGTAAGAATAAAAATAGCTGCTATGATTGATTGACGCACTTACCAACCACGTGACCGAGTACCGAGCAAAGCTAACAGTATAAATAGAAATACGTATATAAAAAACAGTTTCGTAGAGAAGACAAATGGATTGACCATTTGACATAAGCAGTTGACATAAAATTAATATTCTAATAAAGTGATAGGACCACACTTTCATAGGACCTCCCAATACCAGAGACACCCCACGGAGAACTCGAAATATACAATATATAAATTAAATTTATGCATATGCAAAAATATATTACAATAAAAATTGATTGATTGATAAAAATTGATGAATATAGCATTACTTTTAGTTTCATTTACAAAATATATTGTCATATTGATTTATTGATATCAAAAATGTATTTACAAACTTGCTTGAATAAAAAGAACTTATGTAAATTGCATAATATAAATTACATAAATAATAGCATATCTAAAATATGTATATATTAAAATGAACAATAAATTTAAAATATATTATCAATTACATGGAATAATTGTTACAAGTTACATAAAAATTATGTACAATTTATAATACATATTACATTAAAAAAATGTATATAATATATATAATATAATTTGCTAATTTAGATCAATAGATCTTACAACTTATATGCATTTGGTCAGCATCAGCTACATATATGTATAAACTGACATTCAATAAAAAGATTTAACAAATTTTGAAACAACTAAAAATATTGCAGTGACCAGACATTATTCTGTAGTTTGAAAAGAGTGAGCGAGATAGAGTGATAGAGAGGTAGAGCTTTAAATATTGCCATCTTCATCGATTCTAAGCGATTTGATGTTCTTCAAGAATTTGTTTGGTTTGCTCTTCCGTGCGATTGATCAACTGCATTATTTCATCCAGCTCTGTCTTAGCCACTTCGTCGTCTGGACTTGTCTCCTCCTTGATCCCGGCTACCATGGACTCAACTTCAGCCTTGACTGATTCGGCTTTGATCTGACCAAACATGGCATCCAATTCCGATTCCTGACTTTCACTACTCTTGTATTGAAGCTGTGGAACCCGACGACGCTGCAGCACCTTACGTTCCACGTGTTGTTTACCTGTTTCCATTGCCTTGCGCTTTCTGCAATCGAAACGGACATTGAATGCGTTGGATTTATAGCTTGAATTGCACTTGTTTTGGCTAACCTGTTGCGTGGACTTAAGCATTTGGCAGCCACGTTAGTGGAGCAGCCCGCTGATTCACTTTTGATGGTGGATGTGGCCGTTGGTATATCGTCAAGCTTGAGATCGTCAGGCTCAAAGGCAGCCACAGCTGACAGCAGCTGATGATTCTGTGCACTGAAAGCCTCCACGTCGAAGGGCTCCGTTGCCACAGTAGCTAAATGGCAAAGATAAACATTTTTATAATCATTATCAAATGCGCTAAGTTCGTGTCTTACTCCTCCAATGGCGAGCACCATCCCGGCGATATTGCTGAACTTCTATATCCTTTTTCTTAACAATATCCAACAAGTAGTGCACATTTTTGCTTAGACTGGCGGCTGTATACAGTGCATTCTTCAACATGTGACGATAGAACTGCAAGAGTAGGTGAACTCATATAAATTGATCATGAATCAATCTAATCTATGTAGACTACAGACTGTTAGTAGGACACTGTCCGTGGACGTCAGGTGCCACTCCCATTTCAGAGGCGCCGGCGTGCCTTCAATGCGATACTTCAAACTAAGCACCGTGCGCTGCTCCAGCTGCTCGTCTTGGTTCAGTTCCTGCTGCTGTTCCGCACCATTCTGTGAGGCTGCTCGAAATGTAGCCTCTGCTGGCTGGGCGCTGCTTAAGGCCGTACGCACGGCTTCTGCTGGAAACTCCACGCGTTTGTTTAATTGCTGTTGTAAATACTTGACACCGTTAGTCATTTGGCCATTGATTAATAAAGCAATAGAGCAGGCAACAGCTCACCTTGATGCGCTGCAGGAAATCGGCAACAGGCAGGTTTTCAGTGTAGCTCAGCTCCTTACGTTGATCGTGGCAACAAAACTGCAGAGCCTTGTCTTCGTCAGCGGAGCCACCTATTAGGCAGCTCATCAAGTGTACATCCCTTAACTTAATCATATTTAAATGCATATCTGAGCACAATGCTTATGATAATCGAAATTTGTATAGCAAACAAATACACAAGACAACAGAAACAGCTGATAGGCGACATTGGTGAATCTTTTAGTTCGCGCAAATCGAAACTCACGAACTGGAACTGGTCGCAAATGTTAAATGAACGGTAACTTATCGATAACTCTGCAGTGGTAGATAGAACGCGCGTCCGATTTAAAATGCGATTTGAAAATTTTTCAAAGAATTTATTTATACGCAGACGTGTTAGCTCTGACAGCGATTTCGTTCTGTTTATATTTTTGTTTGTCGATTGTAAATCAAACAACACTTTTGTAATATTTCATGTGATTTTGTTTTAATCATATAAAGTTTATATGTAATACTTTTGTTTTTGTAATATTATCAAAAAATTGTGTACTTTCGTTATTTGTTTAATTCAT